CCCCCCCCCCCCCCCCCCCAACCCAAACTTTCCACGATTATTTGTTTTTAATTTCTGCTAGAGCGAAGACGAATCCACGCAGATTATACGGTACCCCATCGACTCCCAAATTTTCCTCCCATTGCCAATCTTGAGAGTTGCGCACCGAAGCCCCTTTCAAACTGACGCAAAGCATGGTGGAGACTACGGCAATCAGGGAGTGTAACGCGCGCTTCACCAGTGAGCAACATGCAGGACTCGTCTGCGTCTTTGCTGGTGCCACGAGCGGCATCGGCGCCAGCACGCTTGAGAGGATGGCACTTATGCTGCATGCACCAACCTTCTATGTCCTCGGGAGATCAGCGGCGCGTTTTGCAAGCCAGCATGCGAAGCTAGAAAGTCTCAATCCAAGCTGCAAAGTTGTGTTTCTTGAAGCTAAGGTCTCACTACTCTCAAATGTCGATTCCGTGTGCAAGCAGATCACGGCTGCTGAGCAGAAGGTGGATTGCTTATACATGAGCCCTGGCCTGATCCCTCTGAACGGACCACAATGTACGTGTCCCCAGGTCCTGAACCTTCAAACGCTGACAGGTCGCGTAGACACGAAAGAGGGCCTTGAGACATGCTTCGCGATTTCATACTACTCCAGGATGCGGCTCGTGTGGAATCTTCTGCCACTCCTTCGTCAGTCACCGCAGCCGCGAGTCCTGACCGTGCTTAACGGAGGCAGAGAGAAGTCTATGCATGATGAAGACATCGGTCTTGAGCAGCACTGGTCCCCGCTCGCAGTCGTTAACCACTCCACCACTATGACCAGCCTGGCGTTTGAGCACTTAGCTGAGAATGATAAGCAGATAACCTTCTTGCACGCCTTTCCTGGTTGGGTGAGGACAGACATCTTCGCCCGGCTGACTGCGCCAGAGTCATCTGGAGTAGCATGGAGGGTAACGCTGGCAGCAATCCGCGGCCTTGTTGCTGTGGTGATGTTGATTTTTGGCATGTCGGCGGAAGACAGTGGCGAGAGACAAGCCTTTCACCTGACCAGTGACAGATACAGTCCAGGCGCTTGGCGCATCAGCCCCAAAAGTGACCAAATCTCCGCACCCGGCGTGCTGGAACAATATAGAGAACGCAGATGGCCAGAAAAAGTCTGGGAGCACACTCTGCGCGTCTTCGACAAAGCCTTGGCCATAGGTAGTGATAGTGTGGTGAACTAAGTCTCAGTCTGTGTCAACCAACATCGTTCATACACCTGCAATCTTGCATCCTTCTAGCTTTAGTTCTTGCCCGAGTCCCGATGCCCGTTGAAAGCTGTTTTCGCACCGTTTGGTCTCGCAGCATAACCTGGTGCAGTCGCCGTAACAACCTCTATGCATATCACATGGAGGATCTGTGGGTTTTTTATCGCTGTAAGGGGGTCTGTAGCGTAAAGAAAACGCTAGCAAGTACACTGCTGAACTCTGGACGGTCAGGTCTGGCCAAAAGCTCCAGACATTCATGTTTCCCTTTTCGTGAAAGTTCTGGATATCTGCTCGGAAAAAGGGAGGTCAGCTGCCGAAGCCAATTCCTGTTCTTCACTGTCCAGAAGAGAAATCCCAGTCGTGCCAACACAAATTTGAACTTGATTCTGGACAAGCACACTGAGCAATGAACACCCAAACCAGTGGCTGAGAGCAAGATACCAGGGATCACCATACCGTTGGCGCGTCCCTGACTGATCTCACCTTTGCCCTGTCTTTGCTTTCCATAGCGCCGCCCAGGCTTCAAGTCTCTGCATTACCCTGCATCACAGAGGCTGGTGGTAGCAATTCCCTGGCGGATTTATAATGCTATATGCGAATGCGCTGAGGGCCTTAGATAGACCTGAGGTCTAGGCGGCTCAAGACCACAGCCTCGAAAACTCAAACATACAGGCAAAGCACAGGTAACTGGACTGGCGTGTAACATGGGGGATCAGAAGGAAGTGTATGCATACGAAATTGCGAGAATTGCCTGCAGCTGTGTTACACTAGTAATCACCTTTTCTTCATGAACGGGGAGATTAGCGGGCAATGCAAAATTGTTGATGTGTTCAACCTCTCACATCAGTTAATCAACATTCATTTTGCTAGCTGACGATCGGGAAGGCCTCTACCTAATGCGAAGGTTCACAGAGGAATCAAATCAATACTATCCACATTTGGGCAAGATTTATGAATTAGCCAGTCCAAGGTTCGTTTGCATTGCAGAGCCATGACAGCATTCGCTGGCAAATTCACAATTGCCCAATAGTCTTGTCCTAATTTGATCCAAGGTCATTTCGCTTCTACCAGTCTGAGGTAGACTTGTTGCGCCCTGTAAGTATTCATGTCATCGCCTCCAAACCCAGATAATGACGGAGGTGTCTTCTGCAGCTCAAAGCTCCACACGATGAGCGTGATGATAACCTTCAATTCTAACACAGCAAGCTTGATGCCTGTAAAGTCAAGTAAGTCAGCTTCTGGTGACAAGGTAAAAGCCACCTGAGCGTAGCGAGTAATGGCTAAGATAGGAGCGCTTACCGAAGCAACCACGCGGCCCTAACCCATAAGGGAGCACAGGTCCAGCACGAGGATTGAATCTCAAGTTGCCCTCATGATCTTTGACAAGCCACCTTTCTGGTCTGAACCTTTCGATATCGGAAGCATCCCAAACGCCGTATTTGTCTTTCGATTCCTGACTGGTTTTGCTGCGCGCAGACTCGTTCACTGCAAAAGCTGGAGTTTGAAAGCTGGGTCCATTCGTGAGCATGAAAACGTCAGTCCCCTTCGGTATTCGGTGGCCGAGGACCACAGTGTCTCTGGTCGTAATTCTTATGACGGTGGGAATAGAATTGCCCAAGCGGTGGTTTTCTTCGATGAAGGCATCGAGGTAAGGAATGTCGGCTTTCACAATCTCTTGTGCAGTGGGTAGTTCTCCAGATTCGGCTGCGCGCTTATGCACCAACTTCAACGATGAGCGAAGTGTTTGCTGTACCTCCTGGTGGTCTGTTAAGTACTTGACGGCCCAGCAAATCGTTGTCGAGGTTGTTTCGTGGCCAGCTGAAAAAAAGCCAAAGAGTTCATCCCTGATAACCCGAGTATCGTACATTACGTCGCGGTTTTGCCTCTTAGCCATCTGTGCTTCTCGCTGCACCAGCAGGTCCACAGCAGATTTAACTTGTTCATCCTAGTCTGCATTATCAGAAAACTTCTTCCATGCGGCTTGTAACCGGTCACCCATCATTCTCTTGTTCCATCTCCTAGCGGAGACCAAAGAGGGATAGAATTTCAGAGCGAAGGTGAGGCGTTGTCTTGGTACTGGAGACCTCAGCGCAATCTGGAGGCTGTCTACCAATGTCCTGACTGACGTAAATGCTTGCGGATCCTTTGCGGTCGGGAAGATTGCAGGTACGTCGACATTCCAGGGAAGGTCGATCTTGTTGATTCCAGAGATAAGCTTTGTTTGCGATGCGATGGCGCCAACCTCGAACCCAAAAGTGGCTACTAGAATAACATCCACCAAATTTCTGATAATGTCTTGATCGGCTTCAAAAGGTCTCCCTTGGGCCAAGCGCGCCCTTTCGCGCCAAAGCGCGAGCAGATCTTGTGTCGAGGAGTGGATTGCAGGGCCAACAACGTCGTGGAGGAAGGATGGAGACATTGTATCTCGAATGAGGTGGCGGTGTGCTCGGAATTCATCATTGCTGGGCATCTAACAGCCTATAATTAGCATGTTTTGAGTCTCTAAGGCGACCAAGAGTAGTTATTCCCAGTACTCGCGTCCCAAGCGCAGTGTTTGGACGTTGATGTCTCTGGCTGAAGCAATAGCCTGCGTAGGCTATCTGTTCCGGCTCAGTTATGAAACGAAGCCATGAAAAAACATACCCATACGTGATTTCCAGGCAACAGAGGCCCAAAAACCTCGCCAATGTAAGTGGAGCGATCAAACTCGTGTTGTCGATTTATCTGGATGTCTTGAGCTTCACAGAAGTCGGTGACAATCACCCATGGCTTTCCAAACGGACGCATGAACATCTGGATCACTGGTGAATCGAGCTCGACGGCAAGCTTTCTGATATAGCTACAGATCTCTTTTGTCTCTGCACGCCACTTGAGAAGCTGTGCATCTTGTCAGTTACACAAGATTTTTTACCAAACTGGCAGTCATAGCTCACATCTGGCGCATCTCCGAGGATCCGATTGGCACTGGCCTTGTTGTAGGGTATGCCAGGAATTGGCTTGGGAAGCAGGGCACGATATACGCAGGCAGCCACGGCAAACAACACACAAGCTGCAACGCCGAGGATGGAAGGCGAAATCTGAATTGCCATCGAGTCAAAGCTGAAATGTGAAGGGACTGGAACATTATGATTGGGAGATGGGTGCAGGTGAGCAGAGAGATAAGTGCAGAATGTATGATGCAGCATGAGAATAAGGTGAGTGGCAGGTTGAGGTCAAGGTTAGGTGATGAAATGTCAAATGAAATTTGGAACACTTTCAAATTCTTCCTTTCAGAGTCTATGGACCTTCAAGCTATTAGCAACTTACGAAATCCTCTATAGACGAATCAGCGACCTCCCTATGTACCTCATGCATAAGTAAGGAGACGTAGCGTTGTTAGACCTCAAATCCTGGACAGAGTGAGATTGTCAGTGACGGCGAATTCACGCCAGGGAAGGAAGTAATACACTGATACCCACCACAGCCATGCCGCAAGGCCACAGTAGCACCGGTGTCGGCCTCGCAATTCACTACCAGGGTAACCTTCATGATGTTATGTGTATCAAGTTTTAGGCAAGCCGCCCTTTACTTTATCATGGACAGCACTCAAAGGACTACCTACTCACCACAGTTGCAAAAAGTTGCGCGGTTTGCATGCAACACACATGATCTATCAGCATTGCCATGTTTACTGCACCTCTCTCCATCGCAATCCTTTCCATTACTCTCTTGTACTGGGTTGTCCGCGTCTACCTCAATTACCTCCGCTATGAACGTACCGCTGCGCAATTTGGCTGTCCGCCGCTTAAGCACTACCCTGGTTGGGACAGAATCCTGGGCCTTGACTACGTCTACGCTATGTTCAAGGCGCTCAAAGAGGACCGCTTTCTCGAGTTCCAGACTGAGACCTATTCCGCCCGTGGCTCCAAAGTCTGGACGGCCAACTTCATGGGCAACCGCATGGTCTACAGCTCTGAGCCCGAAAACATGAAAGCCATGTCGACGTTGCAAAGGGACTGTTTTGCCGTTGAGCCGATCCGCGTTGCGAACGGCGCAATAACACCATTCACAGGCCGTGGAGTCAGCTCATCCGATGGTGCGAAGTGGCAATCTTCACGCGACTTAGTCAAGCCATACTTCAAGCATGAAGGCTTTTCCAATCTTGAGCGCCTTAGTCAACACGTTGATCGCTTGCTGAGCAAAATTCCGACTGATGGGTCAACAGTGGATATGCAACCATTGTTCCAGCAGTAGGTGAGTGCACATTCCTAAACAGGCCTCTTCTCCTGCTAGCGGCCGTTGCATCATTGGATGAGACAGTCTGACTCGGCCGCATAGTTTCTTGACACATCGACCGATTTTCTCTTTTGAGAGACAGTGAACTCACTTGACAACCCAGAACGGGATTGGCCGCATAGAGACATGGTCACTGTTATGCGCGGGCTGCGCCTTCGGCTGCAGCTGAGCTCGTTCCTATTTCTGCATCGTGACAAGGAATGGTTCGCAACCTGTAAACGGATCCACGGCTTCCTTGATGGTTACATTGACAAGGCTTACAAGCATTTGGAATATGAGAAAAGTGGCAAGCCTGCTACTTACGCAAATGGGGAGCCTTGAGACGACTTCCTCTGGACGATTGCCCGTCAGGTGCCTGACAAGCTGGAGCTTCGTACGCAATTGACCAGTATCTGGATCCCATCCAATGAGACAACGTCCATTCTTATGAGCAATACGCTATTCGCCCTAGCAAGGCACCCAGAAGTCGTTGAGAAACTCCGGAAAGAGATCCTCGACTATGGGGACAAACCTCTGACATTTGAAGGCCTAAGATTCATGGTCTACCTGAGATGGACCATCAATGAGAGTGAGTGCGATCCAAGTAAAGTCTGAGATAAGTATTAGAGCTGACATATTCTGAAAAACAGGTCACCGTCTTTACCCAGTCAGCCTGCAGACGGTGCGATCTTGCGTCAAAAACACCACCCTTCCAACAGGCGGTGGCGACGACGGCAAGGCTCCCATCTTTTGCGCCAAGGGTGATATTGTGCACTGCAATTGGTATCTCATGCACCGTGACCCGGATCTCTGGGAGCTGATGCCGAACAATTTCGTCCTGACAGATGGGAGAAGGTACGGCCAATGTGGAACTTCGTGCCATTTGGTGGCGGCCCTCGAATTTGCCCAGCCCACATTATGGTTGACACCGAGTGCAGCTACACCATCTTCAGGATACTACATCACTTTAAGGCTATTGAAGCCAGGGACAGTGAGCCTTACACTGCTATCATGCGCGTAGTCCATCAAATAAGAACGGTTGCAGGGTTGCGTTCATTCCAGCATGACTGTGGGAGTAGTCTACATGGTATAACAGCCGCTAATCGATGCATATCTCAAACTAACGTTTTACCTCTCGTCCATTTGATGAGTTCGTGTCCAGTGATTCCATAATTCGCAAAGCCTACCTGCAATAAGGAAGCTGAGGGATTTAATGCAGATGAGTAACCTGCTCCCGAAGCTTCACCTTGCTCATCTAAAAAGTATACAAATATACACCCTGGTGCCATAGGAGATCGTATCCTGGATAGAGTGCATAGCCACAGTCTTTCGTTCTTGTTGAAAACGTGCTAAGAAGTTGAGCTGTGGCACCCCATTGAGGGAGCCTGCTTACTGTGTGCTGTAAGTGTACGTCATATGATTCTGGATGTTCTTAGATATTTGATGAACTAAGTTCTCAAAGACCGTCATCTGCTACTTCTATAGTAGGATTACATGCGTGGCTTAGATGAATTCTCTTGAAGTCTCATAAAGTCTCATGGATTCTCATTAATTATCATATTTTATGTGTACTTCCTCAGATGCTCTACACTGCTAGGCCAAGAAGGTGCCCAGGCAGCCCTGTTAGTCTAGTGGGCGGTATTATACCAAGCAAGCATGCATTAAGTTTCTCAGTACTTATTTTCGTTACATGACGTCATCCCGAGATTAATCGCTGAGGCAAGGAAAACATGATCGATATGGAATGTTGGGGAGGAGGGCCTCCATAACAAGAATGTTCTCCAACGAACAAATCAACACAGTTCCTGCTTAGCCTGTGAGTATTTGATGGTATTGTTAGGAGTCGTTTCTAGCATAACTTGGATGAAAAGGGTCCACTGTCTCTTCGAAGGTCGAGAACGCCGCCAAAAGATCATCCCGACATGTTGAAATCCCGACCTACGCCCAAGCTTTGTACTTGGCCTATCTAATTGAAGTCTCTACGCAAGCGAATGTGATTCCCCTCATCCCGCATTGACCAGTCACCGGTAGCTGATGCCCTTAGCTGACGGGCAATAATTGAATGGCTGCTTATGTGCCCTTTGGCATTGTATCGAAGGCTGATGTCCACATATCTGACGAACATATTCTGCTATATAACACTCTCAATAGCTGCATTACGGGATTCCGCGCCATTGTCGACCAGTTTAGTAAAGCTGGGCCGATGAGAACCATAAACTTGTGTCTGGCGCTACTCGGGCGAGGTCGTAGCGAGGTCTTGATAGAGGATAATGAATCACCCAAGGTCGGCTGAAGGCTCTTGCCCAGTCTAGCAGGGCCTATTGATAGCTACACTGCTGATAAGACACAGAAATCCTTTTATTCTCGTGTCGGGTATGCCTGAGACTCTTTGTTTCTCAATATAGAGTCGGGTGTCTAAACTTCTACATTGGTAGCTGGCTAAAGACCCTTGACATGCGTCCATCTAAAGCACGGCGCGATCAAATCCTTAACCCGGAAGGGGTGCACGTTCAGGCGCGGCAAACCGGGCAAATGTAACTTTGGAGATAGTTCCTGGCAATGACAATTTTCCTTTAAATCATTTGGAAGGTTGGTTCGAGCCAATCGAATGCCAGGGCCATCCACAATATAAACCTACAAGACGAACCCAATGCCATGCTGCCCGATCATTCGGACATCAACAGAACCGTCCCTTTGACCATTTCCCCCAAGGCTTTCCCATAGCAGCACTCTGGCTTTCTATGTGATACTTCTGACACAAGTCAGAGTGCCGCAAATAACTGTATAGATAACCCGAAGAACTCGTTGACTTTGTCCTTGAACGCGATGCAGTCTCGACACGCAGGCGAGCTGATTAATATGACCACCTGGGCTAATGAAGCCGGTGGTGGCGCACAAGCCATATTAATCAGTTCTGTATGCCTGTCTCGTTGCCGAGCTAGTTTCTTCAGCCGGCTTTCTAGCGTCAAGATTGGCCGGGCTTCTGGAGTAGCCATTAGCCGGTTTAGGGCTGTTTCAACAGACCTGAGCTCCAACTTAAGTGCCTTGATCTCATCATACTTTCCGACGAGCTTTTCTTCCCCATCGAATAGCTCCTTGTCTAAAGCTTCTTTCTTGTCTCGGAGGGATTTCACCTTATGTCCTATCCCAGTGCTGGAACGAAATCTATGAAGCTCATCCTCTACCCACTGAATCTCCCCCTCAAGTTCCGAGTCTGGAAGGCGGTCGCGTGGAAGAAAAGCATGGCGATCAATGAAGTACGCTATCAATTGCTTTTCTGCGTGACATGCATTGTATTCACCGTCTTTCCACCGATCATTGGGGTGCGAAGGCAATCGATGGCCCGTCACTTCCGAGATATAAAAGACGTCATCTGTCCACTGTCGACCATCGACCCTGAGGGGCTGCAGCGAACCATGAGACCATCCGCTCATGGCGCCAACGGACGGGAATTCCCCGCCTCGTTCCAACCTCGCCACCGTCTTCCAGCTTCTTGCGATTGGATACTCTTCGATCGGCCCGCGTAATACCAACGAGTCCCGCGTCAGCGAGGGTGAGAAAGAGTAGGATTTTGATTGCGATAATGTGGGAGGACTCCCACAAACAATCTTTGACTTCCGGTTCTCTCCACTGAGAAGGCGTATAATCTTCTGACGGTCAATGTCCCTTTTGAATGTGTCTTCGATATAACATGGCCGTTGATTGGATGTCAAGTCACCTCCAGCACGCTCGTATCTCTCTTGTTTGTTTTTGTGATGGTCTCGAGCAAAATCAACGGCCGCTCGATTTTCTCTATCCCGGGCATTTTTGTCTGCACCGTGTTCTAGGAGAACCTCTACATTGCCGATACGACCAAAGAGCGCTGCCTCCATAAGAGAACTCCTTCCATAACTGTCAACAGTGTTGACCTCAGCTCCATGTTCAAGGAGAATCGACACCATCTCCGGACTCTGCTCAACTGCTGCGATGATAAGGGCTGTTTTACCATCGGGATGCCGACCTCGAATAAACAGCTGGGCATCACTCGAGGTTTCTAGGTATTTCTGCACTGCTCTTGTATTCCCATTGACACAGTGTATAATTGTATCAAGTATTCTTTCCTGTTCAAATGGCTCGATGCCGGGGCCTGGATCAACGGTGACGACCTCCTTCAAGTCCTCGTTGATATCGGCATGTATTTCTTCACTCTGTGCTGCGACAGTGGCTTTCTGAGCCAATTCGATCGCCAGACGATCAGCACCATCGTCATCCTCGGTATCACTATCATGTGATACACATATATTGACGTATCGCCCCCGTCTCTTGTCGATTTCATACGCAACCTCGCCTTGGTCATTCATGGGGAAGCAGCATAAGTAACTCTCCATCTTCTCGCAATGTGAATATCTCAACTTGTTCGTGTTCCAGTTTATCCCATGGCGATGAACTGCTTGGCAGAATGGACATTGAATGTAGTAGGAACTTGTCGAGACGTTTTTGTCTATAATCCGACAGCAACGACATTTGGGAGTTCGCACCGTGATTTGCACTCAAGAACCGACAGTCTCGCCAAAGTTGATCGAGCTCAGCTCGATAATTATTATCCACCGATTCACTAGTCCTGAATGGTACAAGGTGATCCCGAAACATGTTCCGATAGATATTAGGGAAGTCGGAAGCAACGAAGACGGTATCCATAGCGGCCTGTGTCAAATTGCTAGTCTACGGACTGGCGAGGCTATTATTTTCGCTCCTTCTGCTCATCTCATGGGCGAGAAAGATATGGTCGTTGATACAAGACATCGCACATTTAAGATGTTAATAAGAAAGAGAGTTACTTGGGATGGCGGACGGACGATCATCTGCATTCGCTAGGTGGTTACTGAGAACATCTCTTTAAGTATGGTTATACAGAGCTTCCATTGTACATTTGTTGTGGATGAGGGCTCGATCGAGCAGATAATAGAAATTTGTATACGGGATTTATCCTGTATAGTAGGTTGATTTTCCAATCAATCTAGCATTCAATTCCTGTATAAACCCTTAAGCGCTTGGGAGGAAGAAAATTGTGGTACGCTAAACCCCAAGCCCCCCTCTAGGCATATTTTCTGTGATCTATGGAAGAGCATCAAGGTTGAGGAGTATCTCAAACTTGGGCGGTAGATACCGGTGAAGGGCAGACGCTCGCGCTTCTGGGCAGTCACACAATTTACCAAGGAAGAGCGGATTGATTAGCAGTTTGGTTTAAGCCTAGACAAGTAAACTTTACTTATTATTGGACTTCAAGCCATCCCTGTCAAAACTATGCACACGCGTTGGATATATTGTATGCGTACTATGGTACTGGTCCAGAACGTCCATTCCCAGAAACCTATCGGCATTCTAGGCTCAAAAATAGGCTCAATCTCGGTGCCTAGGGACACATAATCCTGATCGTTTTTAAGTCGCTGCGCAGGAAAGTCGTCCGTCTAATAGGAGAACATATGGAACCTATGCACGTTGGGGATGCCTTTCTCTCGTCGAGTGAAACAATGTCTGCTCCGTACTGCATACTAGAGTACATATTCGGCGTCGCCGACGCAAAAGGCTTATCGAACCAAGGTTAACTGCAAAGATGTGTAACCGGCGAGAAGGATTAATCAATGGCAGGCATGACCTACGGGTACACGGAGTCGAGCGGCCAAGTTCTGCTGGAGAAACAAGTTAACCCTTGCGTCGAAGGGAATACAATGCCAGGTTCACATTCTTTGGCCAGCATTGTGACCGGTGTTATGGGGTAAATTTTTTCGCCACTTTGGCTGTGAACCCTGGGGGCGGTCTCCTTGTGATACCCGCCTTGAGAAATCCGCCAGCCCTGTCTTGAGCTTCTTATATCTGGGGGGAAGGCATTGTTGTCTGTCTTCCCTTTGCGCGTGCTTCACATCCAGATATATTTACAGCAATCGCAAAATTCGCTTACTTGTTTCAGACCTGCATTACCTTTAGCAATCATGGCTGCTGTATCATTTCTCGAAGAAGGACAGCTTCAGGCGGTCGAAGAGCTCATCGGTTTCAGGTTTACGAACCGTCATTGGCTACTTGAGGCTCTTCAAGCAGCAGGTCTTATCAATCGCGACAGGAATAAGAAACTCGCCATTATAGGGGACAAGGTTCTTGGCCTGGTACTCGCTCTGGAAGGATATGCAAGAAATCAGTCTAGAGGTGGGAGATGCCCTAAGGAGGCTCAAGACATATTAGGCCATTCGTAGATCAAAGTGGGCTAACTGAGCTATATTTGAGCAGAACGCATTAGCAACGTTATCTGTCAGATTGCCAGCAATAGCTATCTTGCGGAACGGGGCTTTTTGATGGGTCTAGATCGTTACATTGTCAATAACCCGGCCCAGGGTGGCCTTATCCCAGCTAAGCTCATGGCTACCACTGTGGAAGCTATACTTGGTGCCGTTGCCCGCGACAGCGACAGTGACTTGACCGTTGTTGAAAATGTTGCGGATGCCCTAGGCCTCTCTTGGTATCAATGATAACCCCCTTAGCGGTAATGTTCTTCCCGCCCGATTATTGAAGTTCAGATCTTCTGCCTGTGTTAACGTGACTTGAGATTCTACTTACTTTCCGCTGAGGCGCTTAAAGGGGCCCGACGCGAAGGCAAGCTGTCGCCACCCGGAAATGCAAGAGACCCCACCATCAGCAGTGAGACAGGCCAAGGCCACACTTATGAGCTCAGAAAGGGTTGACTTGCATTTCCGTGATGGCGCCCGCCTGCCTTCGCGTCGGGTCACCTTACGTGCCTCAGCGGCAGGGAATGGGCTTTCAAGCCACAGCATACTCTGTCATGCTATTTTGGTGCGACGCGATGGAGCATCGCCTGCGATCATGCACTGATTCCTTGTACTGTAGGCTGCTAAGCACTACTCGCGGAGGCGGACTCTCCGGAGTAGAAGATGAGGAGCTATAGGCTGAACAGAACTAAGGATCGGGGGGAGCTGCTCCTGCTCAAACGATATTCTCATGAGCAGCGAAGCATGCACTAGATGATGGAATTATTATGCCAGTTTCTGCCTTATGGAATGGTTGACATGATAACCTATCTTTTTCCATTTTGCTCTTGGCCCATCAACATTCAAGAATCCTATAGCCACTTCGCTTTACTGCTAGAAAGCGAAGGATAATGGCCTACCTATAGCGTGGAAAATGTGGTTCCTTAGTAATGCACGCCTCCCAAAGGAGGAAAACCCAAGGTGGGCTGAGAACCCAAAGTGACGCGCCTAGGGGTGCATGAGGTACCCGCTCCGTAAGCCACTGGAATAGCCAGCGAGGACTGCGAGAATAATTAAGCGGCACAGGTAGTTCGCCAAACACAAGAGACATATCACGGAATGAGATGAACTGTGTTGGGAAGAGACACAGAAGGTCAAGGCTATGTTTGTAGTAGCCTTGGTAGTGTTCAACAGGAGGATCTCCTCGAACGCGGAGTGAATCCGCGCTAGGGCATCTCAGCGTAATTAAGAGAAATGTACGAAAGATCGCTCGGAATCGTAACACCTTAGCATTGGGGCATTTCAGCCAGTGATTTCACGTATTTATGAAGATACCTTTGGGTAGACTGGGCATGAATACAAACAAGGCTTGGAGCACACTGAGCCGTGACTAGTGGGAACAAATTTGTAGATTCACGCATGTCATAATGAGTTGGGGCTGTGAGGGTAATATCAAGGCGACACTGGATAGAATACCAGTCCATCATTGGGCGTGTACCTTTGTAAAGAAATAAACATCCTCTGTGTTGGATGATTCAAGCCAACTCGAAAGATTCCTCTTCCCACCCGAAAGTTTGCTTTAAACGCTTTGCAATGAAAAGAAGCCGAAAGCCTTCAATATGTGAATTGTGCGGCCGGTGCAGGGTAAGTGATTGTTGAACTGAGAAATCCTGAGGGGGATAGAATGTGAAAACTGATCCCCACTTTGGGGTAATCGAAAAGTTCAAGTCAGTCATGGCAGCTTCGAACGCCGTCCAGCTAATTGATCCCCGAGATTGTGACCTAGAGAACAGTGCTGAGAAAACTTTGAAGGTTTCCGGCTTTACCTTGAAGACCGTTGATGCTCTGTTGTCTTCTAGCGTTGCAGTTGTAGCTGCGGCGGGGGATATACTGTGCATGGATGAATGTGCTGGTCGGGTCTTATGCTTCTGCCGTCGCTCTTCAACCTGTTTTGCCTCACTGGGGCTATCAATTATGTGAAAATCATCATCAGTGATTGTGGCAACGTTGGCCTTTTGTTGTTGGCACAGATTTTCAGTCTTCGACAGACAATCTTCGTTGAGGTCTTGATACAAGTATCCAAGCTCTGTGCCGGTCTTGTCGACAATAAATCGACTCAAGGCAGCCAAAGCCGCATCAGCCACTCCGGCTTCGAGGAGGTTGCCAGTCGGAACTACAAATTCTGACAGATCAACTTCTGCCTTTGTAGAATCAATCTCAGATCTCAATTTCTTTAACCTTGAGATATATATTTGTCCTTTTCTGGGATTGATGGGTGGTAATGAAAGAGAGATCATCAGGTTTTTGATGAAACTGGTCGCTACTGCGATGTCCCCAAAGGCGTCAAGTTCTCTTTCTAGCATCCGCGTTGTCTCTGTGGGGTGCGTCTGATGAAAGCAATCTAGCTTCTTAATCCAATCGACAGCCGAGGCGACATCCACCGGGGATTGGCAAAGGCGGAGTACGTAGTGAAGCTGAGGATTCTTTCTCGTCAGGACATCCGGCTTGATTTTCATTGTCACCCGCGCGCAATCGTCATCATAAACGCCAGAAACCCGTTTAAAATACTTGGAGCCTGAACCCATTTGCACAAAGCGCTTGAACAGCTTATGGACCCGGCACCGCTCGAAATGACAGATATTTGCCATCTCTTGAAGGATAATAGCTCGACATATTCGATCATTTATTTTCTGGGAGAGGACCTGGAGGAGACGGCAGACATAATCCCAGATTGCTGCACCAATCATGGAATCATGAATTATCTCGAAAATGGACACACTGATGTATTTATCCGTAACAAGAGGCATGATTCGACCCTTTTCGTCCGGGACCAGCCCCGGTTGACTGAAGAACCAGTTATTCACTACATGAGTAAGGAAGACCGGCTCGGTGCGACATAACGACAAATAGTCCTCGAGGTTATTCTTTTGGTCGAGCGCCAGAGCAAGTATGTCTTGAAGAGAGACCTTTCCAGGCTTTGCATCAGTTGACATTGCGGACAGAGCCGTACGTGTTATCTCTTCAGGCTTCTTAGGACGGAGTGTTTTCTCCCTTGATGACGACGCTTCCTCGAGTATGGCCTCTACCAAAATATTCAGCGCCGACAAAAGGTAATATTGTCTCTGCAGAATGAGCTCGCCTGCTAACAGCGAGACGCAGCACCCAGAGCTTATGGCTGTTGACAATCCAGTCATCATCTTATCACGATCGGTGGTCTCTTTAAACACGAAGGACTGTCCATATTCGGCGTCGTTGATAAACAACATGAAACCGCTTCGGGTTGATCCCGTACGGCTCAGGTGACCGATATTTTCCAAAATAAATTCGCAGTCACCCGCTGCGCCATTAAGTCCACTCCGATACTGAGCTCGGAGAGAATTAGTCGCACGATGCTTTAGGTGATTGAGGAGATAGTCTGAGTTTGGTTGTACGAGGTCCAGCAGGTTCCATTCCGGTATAATTTTATACATGTTGCCCAATGTTCGATCCGACGGGTCTGCCAATAAGACACCTTCAGCAGCACCCGCCTTCACAGCCTTTTCTCGCTGGTCCTGGTCAAAGGAGCGCCATATCTGTTCGATTTTGGTTCCGTGAGATTGATATTTCCGCGCTAGGTCATGGTATAGCTCTATCCCACAAGGGTTGGGAACTGTACTAGAGTTCCGTTAGGGTTTTAACTATATTAGGTATAGTAGCTATCTTGGCATGGTACAGTTCTGTTCTTTTCCTTAGGTATAGGGCTGCTACCAAATCAAGATAGAATTTATTGAAATTTTGGTAGCCTTTTAATTCTGGTATAAAGTCTAAGATAGTAAAATTTCAATGGGAAATTCCTTTCTTTAGGTGTGTTATAGCTGCTCCTTTTTTCCAGCCTTATATGATGGGGTTTACTAAGCTGCTGATTAGATAAGGTAAGCATACCAGCTGCATAATTCAGGGGCTCATTCAGTATAAGATTATAATCTTATCATCCTAAATCTGTATCTGAATAGATAAGATCTTTATTCTGAATTAATTTCCTATTATGGAGCATCAGTTCTTCCTAAAATTATCCCAGTTCCCAGTTATTATATGCCGGATATGCCGCCATGGTGTCTGGCCTAGTGAGGTTAGTAGCCATCTACAGGGGAAGAATCATCATCTCCCACAGGCAACCGCGAAGCAGGTTCACAAGGCCATTCAGGGGTGGGATGGCATTGAGCATGATCCCCTAGCTATTCAATGGCCAGCTAGTCTAGCTCAATCAATCCCTGAGCTGGATGAGTACCCAGATGGGTTACTATGCCAGCATGCACCTATGCAATGCCACTATATCACAAGATCAATCAAAACCATTAAGCGACATTGGCGTGAGCATCATGGGTGGAAGGTCCTATATAAAGGGGGCCGACCTAATCACCATGAGCAGGAACAGGCCCAAACTATGGTCCAACAGGGGTTCAAGGTAGTGACCTGCCAGCAGTTTTTCCCTTCGCGAAAGGGGTCCCACTATATCTGGGTTCGAAGCCCTGAGCCCCTGGCTAGGCCAGCAGGCCCTGCGCCTAGCCTGGGTGTCCAGGCTGCGGTAGATGAGGTGGTGCAGGCCTGGGAGCAGGCCCAGGCCCGGGCTAAGGCAGACCAGGCCATCCAGGCCAGCCAGTTAACTGACGCAAACCCCTGGCTGCGGATGACTCGGTGGGCCGACTATCTGCAGGGCATCCAGGCCCATGACCTGCTAGCCTGCGTGGCAGCCCCGGAGGAAGATCCCCAGGATGCCACTGAGCAGTGTGTGCAGGTCGTCTGGGCCACCATGGAGCAGGTCGCCCGCAAGAGCCAGCAGACAGTCCAGCATTGCAGCCAGGCCATCCGGGTGGAAGCCGTCCGGTCTGAAAAGGGGCAGACCCCGCACCGGCCATTATTAGCATACATGGACGAGGCCGCAATCCAGAAGCATGTCCGTCCATGGCAGCAGATATTAGCATTCATCACCCGCACGCAGGCCCCACACAACTGGACCAGCCCGAAATACGGGATGACCACCCGGCAGCGCCAGAAATGGCGGCAGCTGTGGCAGCTAGCTAGCCAGGCTGTAGTTCCAGAGGAACTAGAGGGCCTAGAGGCATGGTCCATGACTACTATAGAAAAAGCATGCTTAGAATTTTGCATTGAGCTGCTAAACCAGCGCCATCGCAGCCATGAATATGAGAGTGTATTAGTATGCGCCATGGCTGTGCTGGGCCAGGGTGAGGCAGGCTGGCGCGACCCTGAGAGCTACCCCCCAATATTATCCCGCGTGATCAAGGTGGCCCGATTCATGGTGGTCCAGAAAGCATTATGGATGGACCCTAATCCATGGCAGATCATTCAGACCTGGGTGCAGAAGGACCAGAGCGCTGAATGGGTGCTAGCTAGCGCAGATGATCAACTCGGGGAGATTGATGAGGGATATGGCAGTGATGACCCCCTATCATCACCACCATCATCGCCCCCATCAGCCATCCATAGTGATGACCCATTGCCCGCGGTCAACATTCACCCAAGCCGCCGACCATTCCAGGAGCAGGTGACATGGATGATGCACCAGTTTATGATCCGTGGGACGCACGGCCCTATGGAAACATTATTAGACTGGCGCACATATGGGTTAAAGGTCCATTATAATCATACTGTGCCCGGGCATGTGACGTGGATGGGGGAGGACCAGTTATTATACCAGCAGATAGCATTCAGCATGGGGGATTTTTGGGGGTTTGTCCATGGACTGGTGACCGTGGCTAGGGAGATACTGGGCCATTTATGCATGCAGGACCATGCGCAGATGCCCCCCATTCCATGGACAGCATTATATGACGATCCCAGCCAGAGCCAGGCCGGGTGGAACTTTGTGCATGACGCACGGACCCAGTGGCCGGTGGATGGGACCCACTGGATGATTGACCGGCTGCGGGCCGAGCCGACCATGCAGCGGCATTTCCTGTGGGGGGGCCGATTCCACCCCACCGCCATCCAGCAGTATTAGCAGCGCGTGGCCCAGTTCAAGGAGAAATTAGCTATTATGGTGCATGTCACCGCAGGGCAGCCAGCACGGGCCCCAGAGTTATTAAGCATTCAGTATTGCAACACCGCGAACAGTTGCCAGCGGAATATATATATTGAGGATGGCATGGTGACATTTGTGACAGCATATCATAAGGGGTTCCATGCTAGTAATGATGTGAAGATCATCCATCGATATGTGCCGCGGGAGGTCGGGGAGTTGGTGGTATGGTATATCTGGCTGGTGATGCCATTTGTCGACCAGTTGGCTGCATGGCAGGCCGCGCAGGTCGCGCAGGGGAGCCAGGCCGCGCAGGGAAGCCAGACCGCGCGGTGGAGCCACGCCGCACAGGGGAGCCAGGCCGCGCAGGGAAGCCAGACTGCACAGGGGAGCCAGGCCGCGCAGGGGAGCCAGGCCGCGCAGGCATGGTTATGGGGCCCCAACCCCAGTACTGGCCGTGAATGGTCGTCCGAGCGGTTCCGGGAGGCGTTGAAATGGGAAACCTGCACCCGGCTCGGCACCGCCATCCATATCGCGGCATACCGGGACATCGCCATTGGCATCAGCCGCCGATTTTTGCGGCCATCCACTGCGTTCCCCCATAATATCCAGGAGGCCGAGCCGGCCCCAGCAGCCATGGATGCCGATGCGGAGGAGAGCATGGATATTGAGCAGTGGATGGGCCATATTGCTGATTTACAGGCCGCCCATTCATCACACGTCGCTGGCATGGTGTATGGCCGGGGCATCCAGGAACAGGCCGGCAGCACCACCCACCGGCGGGAGATGTTCCGGTTATCCAGCACGGATTGGCACCTGTTTTTAGGGTTTGGGGACCCCCCGTCCACGTTAGGCAAACGCAAACGGGCCCTGTGGGAGGATCAGGCCGAGGTCAGCCGCATGGAACGCCGCCACCAGTTAGCCACCATGGATCTGGAGGCAGCCGCGCAGCGCATGACCGGGCGGCCTGACATGCAGTTCTGGGGGGTCCAGGACCCGGCCATGCGGGCCATCCAGCGGGGAGAGAGCCCCGTGGTCGCAGTGATGCCCACCGGCGGGGGGAAGAGCATGCTGTTCATGGTGCCTGCGTTCACCGCCCCTGGGGGCACCACCATTGTTGTGGTGCCGCTGGTCGCATTACGAGCTGATATGACCCGGCGATGCCAGGAGCTTGGTATATCATGCGTGCCATGGGAGAGCCAGCGGCCCCCTGATGCTGCATCCATCGTGTTGGTGACGCCCGAATCCGCGGTCAGCCCTGATTTCCAGACGTTTTTGAACCGGCTGCGGTGGACCCGGCGGTTAGACCGGATCGTGATTGATGAATGCCATGTGGTGTTGAACAACCAGCGCGATTTCCGGCCCCAGATGGCCCAGCTGGGCCGGTTAGTACAGGCCCGCACCCAGATGGTATGGTTAACCGCCACGTTGCCCCCGAGCATGGAGGCGGAATTATGCTGGCGGATGAAGCATGACCGGGCCGCCATGACCATATACTGGGCCCGGACCAGCCGTCCGAATGTGGCATACTGGGTGTGGCGGCCCCTGATCCCCAGGGTCGGCTGGGGGCCGTATCAGTGGATTGAGAGTGAGGCCGTGGTGGCATTCATTCAGGACCGCATCCAACGGGCCGCCGGGGGCAAGGTGATCATATATGCGAATATCATCAGGCAGGTGACGGCCATGGCGTGGGTGCTAGGGTGTGAGGCATATTACAGCGAGCAGTTGGACAAGGCCGGGGTATTAGCGCGGTTCATGGGGGCCAGCCCTGTGATCGCCGCCACCAGCGCGTTAGGCATGGGGGTGGACATCCCCAATATCCGCAGCATTATCCATATCAGGACCCCGCGGACGTTACTGGATTACGCGCAGGAGAGTGGCTGGGCTGGGTAGGACAGACAGCGCAGCGAGGCGATCATTATCCAGCCTGCTGGGTGGGACGCCCTAGCACCGTGGATGGAGGGGGTGGCCCCTGAGGACCAGGAGCGGGTCGCCGAGTATATGGGGGTGGTGGAAGGCGTTGGGTGCCGCCAGGTGGTGTTGGATGAATATTTAGATGGGGTGGTGGACGGGTATCAGCGGCGGCATTGCCAGGATGCGGATGCCAGGGAGCAGGCATGTGATGGGTGCGATCCTGACTGGGAGGGGCCAGAGGTAGATCTGGGTGAGTTAGGCAGCATGCCAGCAAGGGACGCTGCTAGGGAGGCGCCGTTCGAGGCAGGCAGCATGCTAGCAAGGGAGGCAGTGAGGGAGGCGCCATTCGACCCAGGCAGCATGCTAGCGAGGGAGGCAGTGAGGGAGGCGCCATTCGAGCCAGGCAGCATGCTAGCGAGGGAGGCGCCGTTCGAGTCAGGCAGCATGCCAGCGAGGCAGGCAGCGAGGGAGGCACTGATTGAGGCAGGCAGAATGACAGTGAGGGAGGCCGCCAGGGAGGCGCCGTTCGAGTCAGGCAGCATGCCAGCGAGGCAGGCAGCGAGGGAGGCGCCGATTGAGGCAGGCAGCATGACAGTGAGGCAGGCAGCGAGGGAGTCGCTGATTGAGGCAGGCAGCATGCTAGTGAGGGAGGCGCTGTTCAAGCCAGGCAGCATGCCAGCGAGGGAGGCGCCATTCAAGCCAGGCAGCATGACAGTGAGGCAGGCAGCGAGGGAGGCGCTGTTCGAGGCAGGCAGCATACCAGCAAGGGAGGCGCTGTTCAAGCCAGGCAGCCAGTTGCCATGTGAGCCCACCAGTCCCACCCCATCCAATAATTCATTTTGCAGCCAGCCATCCATTTCCATGGCGGTATGGCACACCCAGCAGGTGCAGGCCCAGCAGTGGGCTGCCATGGATATCCAGCAGCAGCAGCATCAGACCCAGCAGGGTTTGGATGAGGAGATGGCCCAGGCCGAATGCATGCAGTGGCAGGATTAATGTTATATATGCGCCATACAGGGGGGTGATAGTGGCCATGAGTTATATGCATGTCATCAGCCCCACAGCCAGGCTGCACAGGCATGGATGATCTGCGTGCGTCAGCAGGTCCAATATGCCCCATACAGTGCGTGTTATTCGTGCGGCATGCCCCAATCCATATGCCATGGGTGGGAGCCGGGCCATGCATGTGAATACCGTGGGTTTTTGATCCCCATGGTGGCCATGATGTTATTCGGGCCATGGCAGGGCCAGATCGAGCCCATATGGCAGCGCCGGTTGCAGGGAATAGGGGTTGACAGGCAGGATGAGGCCCAGGTGGTCTAGTTTTTAGGGCAGGCGCACCCCAACTACAAGGGGCACAACCAGTTATTTACATTATTTTGTTGGTTACGGCGGTTATGTCAGGAGATTGAGGTCGATCAGCATTGGTAGATTGGTGAATGAATATATATTTTCAGATACCATAATGCGCAGAGATATATATTAGACAGTTTGTATAGTATGTTGGCTGAATCCATGGTTTATACACATGTATATATATATAATCAGTCATCAGGGGGGATATATAATATTAACCATAGTCAGGAGAGAGGTAGGTAGTAGGTCAGGAGGAGGGAGTAAGGTAGGCAGTAGGTAGGCAGTAGGTAGGCAGTAGGTAGATAGTGAGGTAGACAGTGAGGTAGATAGTGAGGTAGACAGTGAGGTAGAAAGTGAGGTAGAAAGTAAGGTAGAAAGTGAGGTAGATAGCAAGACCAGCAGCAAGACAGGCAGCAAGGTGGATGGTGAGGTAGGCAGAATAGCAGATTAAATAGCAGGTTATATAGCAGACAGAATGGCCAGCAGTGAGGTAGTGATCAGGGTAGCGAGCAAGGTAGTAAGGTAGATCATAAGGCCCCCAGGAAGGTTATGCATGAGGCAGGCAGTGAGGGAGATGGTGAGGGAGATGGTGAGGGAGATGGTGAGGGAGATGGTGAGGGAGATGGTGAGAGAGATGGTGAGGGAGATAGTAAGGTAGGGAGAATAGCAGATTAAACAGCAGGTTATATAGCAGGCAGTAAGGTAGGCAGTGAGGTAGACAGAATGGGAGGCAGAATGGGAGGCAGAATAGGAGGCAGAAAGGCAGGTCAAACAGCAGGGAGAATGGCAGGCAGTGAGGTAGTAATCAGGGTAGTGAGCAAGGTAGTAAGGGAGATCATAAGGCCCCAGGAAGGTTGTGCATAAGGTAGGCAGTGAGGTAAGTAGTGAAGCAGATAGTAAGACAGGCAGTAAGGCAGGCAGTAAGGTAGGCAGTAAGGTAGGTAGTAAGGTAGATCGCAAGACCAGTAATGAGGTAGATGGTGTAGTAGGTAGTGGGGTTAACAGTAAGGCAGGCAGGAAGATAGGCAGGATAAGGCCCAGGTGGTCTAGTTTTTATAGCAGGCACACCCCAACCAGGAGGTGCACAGTGAGTTATATTTATATCATTTTATTAGTCACAGTAGTTATGTAAGGAGATTGAGGTCAATCAGCATTAATATATTAGGTGAATGAATATATATATTTTAGGATACCATAATAGTGCGGAGATATATATTATACATTTAGTTTAGGTTAAATACATTAGCTGAATCCATGGTTTGTACACATGCATATATGTATAAGATGAGATGTCAGAGAATATATATAATATTTACCACATTCAGGAGAGAGGCAGGTAGTACAGTATGAGGTAGAGGGGGAATTCAGAGGTAGGAGATAGATAGATAGGTCCCATGCCATATAGAACACATAGTAGGGCAGGAGGAACCAGGTAAGGTAGGCAGCATGGTAGATAGTGAGGTTAACAGTAAGACCAGCAGCAAGGTAGGCAGCAGACAGGCAGAAAGACAGGCAGGCAGAACCATGTAAGGCAGGCAGCAAGGCAGGCAGTGAGGTTGACAGTGAGGTAGGCAGTGAGGTAGATAGTGAGATAGACAGTAAGGCAAACAGTAAGGTAGACAGTGAGGAAGATAGTGAGGTTGACAGTGAGGTAGGCAGTGAGGTAGACAGTAAGATAGATAGTGAGGTAAACAGTAAGGTAGATAGTGAGGAAGACAGTAAGGTTAACAGTGAGATAGATAGTGAGATAGACAGTAAGGCAAACAGTAAGGTAGACAGTGAGGAAGATAGTAAGGTTAACAGTGAGGTAGGCAGTAAGGTAGGCAGTGAGGTAGGTAGATGGTGAGGTAGGTTAGGAGGTAGGTTAGGAGGTAGGTTGGGAGGTAGGTCAGGAGGTAGGTCAGGAGATAGGTAGGCAGTGAGGTAGGCAGTAAGGTAGGTAGTGAGGTTGTAATGCAGATTATAAGGCCCCAGAGAGGTTGTTATGCATAAGGCAGGCAGTAAGGTAGAAAAGAGATAGGGAGGGAGGTATTAGGTAAGGTAGGGAGAGAGGCAGAGATAGACCATATAATATAGAAAGCAGAGTCAGGCAGAAGGAACCAGGTGAGATATTAATCAAGATTAGTCATGAGGTAAGTGTATGGATATATATATTATAGATTAGGTTAGAAAATGAATATTTTAGCAGAAGCAGCATTTTTTATATATATATAATAAAGTATCCAGGGAATATATATAATATTAAGTAAGGCAGCTAGAGAGCCCCATATAAGGCAGGTAGTAAGGCAGGCAGAACAGTAGGTAGTAAATTAGTGATTAGGGTAGTGAGTAAGGTAGCAAGGTAGATTATAAGGTCCCAGGAAGGTCATATATGAGGCAGGCAGAACAGCAGGTTAAACAGCAGGTTAAATAGCAGGTTAAATAGCAGGTTGAACAGCAGGTTGAACAGCAGGTTAAACAGCAGGTTAAACAGCAGGTTAAATAGCAGGTTAAATAGCAGGTTAAATAGCAGGTTGAATAGCAGGTTAAATAGCAGGTGAAATAGCAGGTCAAATAGCAGGTTAAATAGTAGGTTAAATAGACCCAAACAGGCAGAACAGCAGGGGGAGTAGCAGGTTAAATAGCAGATTAAATAGCAGGTTAAACAGCAGGTTGAACAGCAGGTTAAATAGCAGGTTAAACAGCAGGTTAAATAGCAGGTCAAACAGCAGGTTAAATAGTAGGTTAAATAGACCCAAACAGGCAGAACAGCAGGGGGAGTAGCAGGTTAAATAGCAGATTAAATAGCAGGTTGAATAGCAGGTTGAATAGCAGGTTAAATAGCAGGTTAAATAGGCAGAATAGGTAGAAGGTAAGATATAGTAAGGATAATAGAGTAAGGGTTAGTAAGTTTAAGATAAGAATAGGGGGTAGAAATATATAAGATAATAAGAGTTTAAGTAAAGAGAAGAAATAAATAAGATTAAAATAGAAGAAGAAAGAGAAGAGGAAAGAGAAGAAGAAAGAGAAGAGGAAAGAGAAGAGGAAAGAGAAGAGGAAAGAGAAGAGGAAAGAGAAGAGGAAAGAATCTAGAGTAAATAGAATTATTAGTATAATTAAAGTAAGGGTTAGGATTATTAAAGAGGATTAGGGTTTAATATAGAGATAGAATAGGAAGAGAGAAGAGTAAGGGTTAGTAATATTTAAGTAAGGGGAAGGATTTATAGTAATTTAAGTTAGAAAAAGGATTATTAAAGAGAATAAAGATAAGAAAGAGGGATTAATTAAAGAGGGTAAAAGAAGTAGGGATAAAGAGGGTAAGGATAAAAAGAGATTAGATTAATTATAATATAAGAGAGGGGAAGGGATTATTTTTAAAGAAATAAAAGAGAAGATTAAGAAAGAAAAGAAGAAAGAGTAGATAAGAAAAGAGAAGATTTAGATTAGGGTTTAATAAGAAATAAAGTAGATTAGAAGAAGAATATAAGAAATTAAGAAGTTGAAGAAGAGGGAAGGTAGGGATAGTAAAGAAGAAGATAGTAAGAGATAGAGTAAGGGATAGAGCAAGGGTTAGTAAGTTTAGAGAAGGGAAGAGGATATAAGAGTTTATTTAAAGAGAAAAGAATAGAAGATAAAGATAGATTAGATAGAAAGAGTTTAAAAGATAAGAAAGAAATTAATTAAAAGATAAAGAAGAAAGAGAAGAAGAAAAAGAGAAGAAAAAAGATAAAATTAAAAGAAAAAGATTAGAATTAAAAGAAAAAATAAGAAGAGAGAAGAATAAGATCAAAGAATAATAATTTC